ATAATGCCTTCGGCTACTTTGCACCATTTGTTTCTTTCTTTTTTTTTTTTTTTATTTATTTTGTTTTTTATTTTTTGTTATAGCCCTCCTCCACCATCTCGGCTCTTTATATCTCTCGACACTTTACTATTATTATTTAATTATTTATTTATTTTACTAGGCTCTTTCCTTCTCAATTCATTTAACCGTTTGTATCAAGATTATATTTATCATATTTGAATAAAAATATATTCTCAATAGAATCGTCCTTGCATATTAATTGGCGTAAAATTTTAATAGCAATTATTCATCGAGAGATACGTCCTTTTAAATCCCTTTCATATATTTATATATACATATATATAAACGATGATAAACATAAATCGAACCTGTTTTCTATCGGAAGACAATAACAAAAGAGGCTACAAAGCTTTTTAAACTTTTCATTGCACAAGGACTTTTTAAATTCGTTCCTTTGTTAATAATAATCTGTATTACTTTAACTTTTTTGTTCTTGTTTGTTAAAAATGTTTCCATGGATATCAGAAAAATTGTGTCTAAAGTTTTGTCGAGTTACTTTCCCATCAGACGAGGATGGCCCTTTCCTTCCTTAGACATTTGGTTTATTTGTTTGTTTGTTTGTTTCTTTCTTTCTTTCTTTCTTTTTATCTTTTCTTTTTCTTTTATACAAATTACTTCTTACACTTTGCACACATTTTTGCTCTACATCACGAAGCATACATTCTGTTGATTTCATGTTGATAACGTTCCTGTACAGCTTTTCTTTTAAGTTTAAAGGCAGCTGTTACAAGGCCCATGTCGGGTGACCATTGTTCTGGACAAAGTTTAACTGCACCAGGTATTTCAAACTTTTGTAACTGACCTATTAGAAAAAAAGAATGCGTTGAGAAGTGATTATATAAAATAGGACGGTACAATTTCAAAAGAATTATCCTTACATTTCTTAGCTTGCTCAACTAACTCTTGAAGTACTGCCTTTTCCACTTGCGGATCGTTGCATAATTCTTCGAAAGTCTTGCCAGTAATACCAAGATTAGCAGCAATCTCTTCGAGTATATGATGATTAGGTACTATCAGTGCTACCGTATAAGATTTACTTGGATCACCATAAACGCATATGTTTTCTACAACTGGACAAGTTTTCAACTCCGCTTCTACTTTACCCAATGAAACATATTCACCTATTTGTAATTTAACCAAATCTTTCTTGCGATCTAAAATCGATAATTAATATATATGTATATATATATAACATTTGAAAATAATAAATAAAAAAGTTAAGCGATATTGAAGATTATTTTTCATTATTACCTATGATCTCTATGGAACCATCAGGATGGAATTCACCTATATCACCAGTTCTGAACCATTGTCTGCCATCCTCCTGGAAGAAATCCTCTTTTGTTTTCTCAGGTAACTTATAATATCCAGAGGAGACGTTATCACCTCCAATAACGATCTCACCCCTTGGATTTGGTAAATTTGTTACTCTATAACCAGCTTCTTCCCAGTTTTCAAGACGAATGTCGCAAGCTGTCGTTGGTGCTCCTACTCTTCCAGTACTTCTATCGTATGCTATAAACAAAATATGAAAAAATAAATAATAAGAAAAAATTTATAATACAATAATATTCATTTATATATATTTTTTTTATAAAGTGTATCATAATGAAAGACATAAAAACACATACTATCCATGACAGTAGCACAAGAACAAGTTTCTGTAAGACCATATCCCTGAGTAACGATGACACATAGACACAATTTGACTTGAGTGTGAGTGTCAGGACTTAAAGGTGCACCACCAGAGAGAATAACTCTCACCCGACCACCAAGAATCTGCCTGGCTGCACCAAAGATGTATTTGTCGAACAGAGGAGTACTATATCCGCGTTTAGTCCATTTTAATTTATAATGATAAGCAAAATTAAAGATTGCTTGTTTGAAGGGTCCAGATTTTTTAACTTTTTCATTAATACCTTTGGATATCCTATCTAGGATAAGCTAAAATCAATAATAATTGTTATTTTATAATAATCTAATAATCCTTATTCTATATTAAAGTATTTAAAGACAAGAAAAAATGAAATATTTTACCGGTACTGCAGTCAAACAAGTTGGATGAAGAACAGAAGCGTCACCCCTGGAACCTCGTTGAATTTTACTACTCGAATCAATCATAGTGAGAGGCGAACTATAACCAATAGGTACACCAGTAAGTAAGCATACACTTTCAGCAAGAAGTTCGAAGACATGCGCGAGCGGTAGAAATCCAAGAAATACATCGTCCGATTTAATTTCAACCGCATTGCAAAATGCTTTTAAAGTTGCCATGATGTTTCTATGAGAAAGTAAGACTCCTTTTGGTACACCTGTTGAACCTGACGTATACATTATAATAGCAGTATCCTCGGCTTTTGGTGAAACTGATACTACTTTAGACGTGTTGCCTGCCTTGATGATATCTGAGAATGGTATCAGTCGTACTCCTTCCTGAAAGTAAATAATGAAAATATGTAGAATTTAATTAATTATTCTTGGTCAGTTTACTCATGTGAATTGTTAAGAATTATACCGTTGTATATTATAAAATATTTGAAGTAATTAATTGGAATTTAATTTGAATAAAAAAATTAAACGCAATATAAAATATAAAAATAAATAGTTATGTTTAATTTATAGAATATATTCATCGTATTACCTTGTAACCTTTTGTTTCGGTTGGTTTAAGTTGATCCTCCATATAAATAATATTCTTAACTTCAGGTACCATTTGTAAAAGTCGTTTAAATTTTGGTAAGAGTTCATGGCTGGTAATAACTGTGTCAACTTCAGTCTCATTAATGCCATGAGCTATAGCATCGTCTCCAAGCGTCGCATAAATTGTTACCACCGTGAGATTTTGTTTGAAACAAGCGTGGGCTGCTATCATCCATTCTGCCCTAGTCTCAGCAAAAATTACAATGTTCTTACGTACATTGAGACCAGTCTCGACCAATCCTCGACTAAAGGAAGCCGCCAATCTTTCAACATCCACGTACGATTTCCATTTATAATCACCCATTTTATACTGAATTCAAAATTAAAATAAAACATTAATTACACTTCTTGTGTAGTATAAATTTATGTAAATAATTGATAACATGGAAGAGACAATCGGTTTCTGTTTAGATATTAAAATATATTATTAATATAAATTCCTCTCTTCCTTTTTTTTTTTTTTTAGTACTTTATATAAACTATTAAATTGCTTCAAGTAAAAAATAATAGAAATCAAAAGAAATAAGACACCTTTTTAAAGATTCTTCCATTAGGTTGGACCTCGTCCTCTTCAGCAAGTATTTGTCTTGTACCAAGACATTTTTTATCACCGTGTGTCTTACTAACCCAAAGCAAGACAGCCTCAAGCGTTTGAACTTTTTCACGTTCGAGCCTGACATGCATTGGACCAGGTGAATCAACGCTTCTATAAGTAATGGAATTTTCGCTTTTGCTGATGGGACGTGCTTTGATCCTTCTCGAGGCCTTCCTTTTTTCCCATGGGCGTTGAAGGATGAGATAAACTGGAAAGGTCAGCAGGTCGTACACGTACGATAAAGCTTTGATCGCGTGGATCGCAGTGCTGATCCAGAAGCTTTCCATTTCTCTGGAAATCATTCAACAAATTTTTAATAATAATCGTATTTTATTTCAACGAGACACATATATTTTTAATACGTTCGAAGTTGTTATTTTTATTCATTACAAAAATTAATCAATAAGTTTATTTTCCTTTTTTTTTTCTTCTTTTTTTTTTGAGATAATTCTTGATTGATAATAAATATTGAAACAAATTTATTAATAGAACGAACGTATTAAAAGTGAACGTAATTTTAAGATACGATAGAATAAATTTATTAAAAAACAAACAAAATTTCATATACATCAATATAATAATAAGCAGATATTTGCAATGGTGCATCAAGCTACGTTTTCAGTCGTGCATTATTATAATATGCGTACTAAAAAGTATAAATAAATAAATATAAAGCAATATATTATTATTATTATTATTATTATTAATAATAATAATAATAATAATAATAATAATAATAATAATAGCGACGATAATATTAAAGATAAAAATCATACAATGTGTTATAATTATAGATTATTATAAATGAAAGAATAGATGAATTATCTAAGTATATACTACACCAATCATTAAAATAAAAAATAGACACTCGGGAAAAGTTCAAATAGAACAAATAAAGAAGAACTTTTATAAAATTTGGCAAAACGCCAATCTGCGTACCTATATGTATGTACGTATGTGTCTATGTATATATATATACATGTAAATAGCGACCCGATTCCATGTACTACACATATATAAGTATACTATTGCAACTCAAGGGTCGACGATATTCAAGTTTATTTTTATCCAGACTAACGGATTCCTTTGGGAGTAAGAATAAACATAGCAAATCGAGCGGTGAATGTATGTATGCATGTATATGTATATGCTTTAAGTCATACATATACATATATATATATAAAAATTGTTCAACGTTATAATATACAGTATAAAGTAAAATAATGGATTAACTCGGGTAATCTATTTTAAGAAAATTTCTTCGAATATTACTGAAAGTATTATACGATCCCTGTTCGTTATAAAATTATGTAAAATAAACTTAAGAATAAAAAAAAGAATTAATTAACAAAATCTAACTGTTGTTTTAAAAAATAAAGATAAAATATGAATTCACGAGAGACGAAATTAATTATTAAAGTATGAGATTGAACTTGGAATTTGTCTTTTTAAAATCTGCTTTACTTTTCTATAATAATGATCATATTTTTCTTGTGCTTTAAAAATCAATGTTCTATTAATCATGTGTTGTTCTCTATCGGACCTGATCTACGCATTACATTTTAATGGTAACATATATATATATATATATATATTACTTAAAATAGATACATGCATACAACTTCCAACGCAGACAAAACCATAAATTAGCTCAGTGGACTTTGAACGTTGTCTTTCATATGCCTTGATAAATACTATCTTTTTATCTCTCTGCTATTCTCTCGTTTACCACATTTATTGCAAAATTCACCTTTAAACGAGGTTTATCAACACTTTTACGTAAATCATTTTTTTTCTTTGTATAATTTATCGTATTGTCATATATCATCATACAATACGAACAATTATATATAGATACAATAAAATATAACAAAAACTAATCTCTTACTATGATATATTCAAATAAAACGAATATTAAAACGACAAAAAATGTAAGAAAAAATCGCGTTGTTACTGACCCACGTTAAAGTGAAATCACAAGAAAAAATAAATTATCTTATCAGAATATATTCTAGCATATGCCGATAAGAAATAAAAATTGCAAAGAAGAAAAAATGAAAACGGTTAACATAAAGTTAAATGAAAAAAAAACTACTGCTACTAATAATAAAAGCTTGTAGGGGAATTTTTGTTGCGCGTGCGTGTTAATAAAATTTAATTGCAAAAAAAAAAAGAAAGAAAAGAAAGAAAAGAAAGAAAAGAAAAATACGAAGCACTCGATATTTATCGAAATTCGTTAATTTATGTTTTGTACATATGTATATGTACACGTGCAGTATGTTACACAACTTATATACATATGTAGTAATACGTATGCGTATACTTAACACTCACAAAATACTAATTAATAAATTCGTTAAATAAATTATGTATGTTAATACAATATGAATAATAAAGCTGATTTGTACGTGCAAACGCAAGCTTTAAACAAAAATTCGTGCTAATTAATATTACTACCATTAATAATAATAATAATAATAATAATTAAACACATCTCGATTCGTTCTTTTAACTGATAATTATTCAAAAAGAAAGCAAATAATAAAAATAAAAAAAAATAAATAAAAACGAAAGCGAGTGTGTGCGTTATATATGATTTACAGAAACGAAGATACAAAAGTAAAAAAAAAACAAAAAAAAAACGTTAAAAAAAAAGATAAAAAAATTTAATATTGGATAATCTTCAATCCTAAACGATAATTGATCATCTAAAGGAGGGTATGTATATCGAAAAATAAAAAAAAAGCTTTTGTCATTCCAAATATGCGTGCAGTGAAATAATCCAACAGGCATAATAGTAAATGAATCTACTACATTGGTTTTTTTTTCTCTCTCTATCTCTCTCCCTCTCTCTCTCTCACTCTCTTTCTCTATCTCTACATCTATCTCTACCACTACCTCTCGCTCTTTTTCTTTCTTTTAGAGAAGAGAGAGAAAACTGTTCTACAAACTCACGGTTTGTCCTCCACGATCATGGTGGCGACCCAGTTTATGCTTACTTCCGATCGATTAACTTCAGGTATTCTCTTATTTCTCGCTGATGCGTATTAATGGCACTGCAAGAAAAATCATTCTCACAAAAAAAAACAAAAAAAAAAAAACAAAAAAAAACAAAAAAAAAAAAAGATAGAAATCACGAGCGGGGGAATAAATAACGCACAAACTAAACGGGAAAAAAAGAAAAAAGGTTCTGTTGAAGCTTTAAAAAAAATACATCATCTCGTTAGTCTTTGAGAGTGAATAAAAAAAAAAAAAAGAAAGGGGGAACTTGTTTAGGGAAAGAGGAGGAGAATTCAAATAATAATTTTCACACCTGTTTTTAAATGTTAATTTTTTCGTTTCTTTAGAGTTTTTTCGTTTCTTTTTGCATAGAGTTAATTTATTATTTCGGCGCTCCATTTTAATTTAAGAAAAGAAAAAAACAAAAAAAGAAAAAAAAAAAAAAGAGAGGAGAATCTTTGATCTCTACCGTTTGGACTTCGATCGTAATATATTAATTCGCGACCTTGATTGTTTAGTCTCATGAGATTAATCAAAAGAGACAGGAGAAGATTGTTTATTTCTTTAAAATCTATCAATTATAAATTTATATATGTATGTGTTTTCGCGCGTATATGTGCGAGATAGGAGAAGAGGATACAGAGTCCGTGTTGTATCTATATTTATTATCGATTATGTTTTTTCAAGTAGAAATAAAACGTATCAACTCGTGCATAATATGAAGTGTATATATATATATATATATATATATATAATGCATATTTTTTGTATTGGCAAGAAGATATTCGAACCGGAAGAAACTTTGTCTACCTTTTATTTTTTTTCCTTTTTTTCTTTTTTTTCCTGTCTCTACGAAAAGTCAACACTCTGAAAAATTTTAATGACCGGAACGAATAAAACAAAACTTTTGTTGAAAAAGTTTGTATCGTACCGTAAAATAAAAACAAAAGGGAACGAAGAAAATTAACATATTACATTGTATACGCGCATACTTAAAAACTATGAAAACAAAAGTTCGTAAAGCGAATTATTTATTCGTTAAAATAAACTGTAAGTTAAAAATAAAAATGCATATTAATCAACAAATAAAAAAATTCGTTTCTAACGCGTGTGTTATCTTCAAATAAATCACTCGATCTATCGAATAATCAATTTTTCGTTATAATAGAATAACGATTGATATCAGTTAAAACGATTTCTTATTAAATTCTTTCATTTTTTTTCGCAAATAGAAAATCGAATAAACTATTGGAAGATGGTAACGAGTGAAAGGACTTTAAATCTTGCTAAACACAAATCGACGTCCTAATTTCTCCGATCGAAGAAGAAAGCTGAGAGGACAGAAAAAGAGATGAGTAGGAGTAGGAGGAAAAGTGGTGAGGTTGAAAGGGGGGGAAAGAAGGAGGAAAGGGTGAATGGTTGAATCTTCATGAGATTCTTACCGTTTGAAAATAGACAAGAGGTTTTTAGCGAGCGAGAAATTGTTTCTCACTTGGTCACAGATTCGTTCTACATTTATACTTAGAACAAAAAAAAAAAGAAAGAAAGAGAGAAAAAAATAGAGATAATCATTAAAATAGCACGTTGAATTTTAAGAAGAAGAAGAACAACAAATCTGTTACCTTACGATTTTGTAATTTCTTATCATATCGATAATTGTTCAACTATAAAATAGAGAAAACACACTCCATAAATTACGAACCTTGGATGACGTATCAAACTTAACAAAGTATTAAACTATAAATTATATATCATGATTAGAGAAATGAACGAACTAACTAATGTGTGTGCGAATACAGTTTATAAATTATATTCTCCTCTATGCATATTACTCGTTGATTGTAATATCACATGCTTGCTCGTAATAACTTCGTGATTAAGAAAAAATAGATGAAATTTAGATCTTACATGTGTACCATTTATATATTCCGATTATTAGATATAATTCAAGAAAAAGACAAAAAGAAATTAGATATTTCACACATATTTTTAATTACTCAGAAACCACAATACTAATGATAAGTGTTGCGACACTACTGGACACAGTATTTAAAAAATTAAAAAGGAAAGATCACGTAATACCACATTTTTGTTAATTTCACAATTGATTATATTATTTAATTGTTAAATTTGGTTTTATTTTCTATACCTTTTCTTCAAACTTGACGAACACATTTTCAAACAAAAAAATTCTTATAATTCGGGAAACTTAAGCAATATTATAGCAACGTTAAGAAAATTCGCAACAAAGAATATAAAACGAGAACGCGTTGTTTTTTTTCTTTACTTCGAAACAAATTTGTTCGTTTTAAGGTTTAGACATTTATCTTTACATTACAGATCGATTATCTCGTTTTCTACAAGAATCCGTATGACTGACTAGTCGTAATGATGAATCTAAAAACGTATGCGATATAACCGCAGATAGACTAATGCTAGCTAGAAAAAGACAAATGTAGGCAGTGAAAGGAAAAAAAAAAAGAGAGAGAGAGAGAGAGAGAGAGAGAGAGAGAGAGAGAGAGAGAGAAATAGAGATAACGAGTTTCACGGCATTGAACATCGGACCCTGTGTTACGATATATTATTGAAAGTCTTATCAAGGTGAAACTTTGCTGTTCGTATAAAGAACGAGGATCACACATCGCAATTCTAATAGTTTCAGATAATAATACGATTAAAGTTTAATCCCGAAGTATTAAAGTAGTTGTACTCATTTGTTGAACTATCCAATTAATCGATCGATTAAATTGATACTAGAAACATATCGATACTTCAAATAAAATATATATATATATAGTCGAAAGATATATTCGATAGAAAATTAATATCATTTTATTTGAACAAAGATAGAAATGGGATTATTTATTTCTAATCATAAACTGAAATCAATGACAAGTAACATTGGTCGATAATCAAATGTTAAGGGTTGATAATCTACCTGTCGATAATTATTGATAATATGATTGATAAATAAATATATACGATGTGATTATTATTTGTCGCGCTATGAATATTGTTAATATATTATATTAATTAAAATTATCAATA